CATCCGGAACGAAGGTTCATGTTGTTGGTATAAGTACTAACTATCGTTTCCTTTGAACATTTCTTTTAGTTATCTCATTCTCAGGATCACTTATATTCAAATATGGTATTAGTTCATTCACTCCAAATATCTATGCATTTTCTTTATATAATTTTTTTCATATTCATATTCATGTGCATTAATTATTCAACAAATGGTGGTGTCATATTGGTCTGGCCCAGTACGTGACCTCCAACACTCAGTATTGGCATGCAACAAATTTGATGGCTTTGGTTAGGATGGTGAAATTTAGAGGGAACACAGGACATCAAAAAAGCAAAAAACTCAACTTTGATATTTGAGAGCACCATAATTGATCATAAACTAGACAACATCAAATCAACCATACATATATCATTCTGCCTCAAATTATTATTCATTTCAATGTACGTCCAAATTACATACCCACTATTATAACAACTCAAGCTCACCTCTAACAGATATAGCTCACTTTGGTCTATTACTTATCGACGTCAATTGGACTAGATTGCTAACAATTAATTTGTTACATATCGCCACTCACGGTTTTTAAAATGCATCTATTAGGGAAGGTTTTCACACTTTCATAAAATTATTTCTTTCTCCTCTACAACTAGAGATGTGAAATCATCGCATTATTCAGGAATTAATTACGTAAGCAAATGTGAAGCTGAATAGACAAAATTGATGAAAACGAAAGAGTTGAACAAGTCAAAAGGAAGGAAACAAAACTAAGCATGCTCACACACAACGCTCAATCTTTATAAGCTTCATTATTATAGAGCGTCGCCCACGCAATCCATCGTGTAATTACACGAACCTATCTAATCATAGTGTTGCCAATAAAAAGCAAAGCCCACAACACACATTTTTCAACTTAAAAAAAATCTTTAAAGGTCCCTCGGGATTGATCGTGTAAAAAAAGTGTAGATTTTTGGTGGGTGGAATAACTTTATATTCCACATCTTCCAAACAAAAGCTATAAAAAACTCCCACCTGGGTCTATCAGCAAACGAGTGAAAACTCAAAAACGGCCAACCAAATGAAGGCTTCAAAGATCAAGCCAAACAAATAAGCAACAACATGGGCTTCTGGATAATTCAAGATTTTATGCGTTCTATATGTACAAGTTAAACATCCTTCTAGGGAATCTGGTAAATCTTCTCACCTTGGAAGCTTGCTCAACAGTATATCACTCTCTGTCTCAATTCCACCATTGAATTGACCAAAATTAGTGTTTTTTTTTTTTTTTTTTTTTTTTTAACTTGATGTTTTAATATTAGCCAAGTCAAATGGGTCGAAACCCTAAAATATCTCTCAATTTAATTAAGAGAATGAAAAGCAGAAAAGATGAACGCAATGATTTAAGTGGTTCCACAATGTGTCGAGGTCCACAGTGGAAGCTTTTGTTAATGTCAGCAAGTATAGTAATACAGTGGAATACAATCTAGAAGCAAAGATACAGAGCATTCAAGAACTCACTTCTAAGCTTTTACAATATTATCCTTATTATAATTAATTAAGATTCTTTCCTCTTCTATGTTGGATTTTGACTAGCTACCTCTTTACAAAATATCAAGCTAAATGAGATATCCGAAGCCAAGATTTCTTCCTTTTTTGCTCTTTTGCTTGGGGATGAAAAAGGAACACACACAAGGGAAACTTTGTTAATTCATTCACAAAGTTCAATTAATCTGTGGCGAGAACCTACCTACTGGAAGCTGCATATAAATTGGAAAGTCTAAAGAGGGGTTGATTGTGAGATTTCATATCAATTGGAGAGGCGAATTGTGAGATCCCACATCGGGAGAGGGGAACGAAACGTCGAAACCTCTTTGTACCGCTGAGCTGTTACATATCTTTTGATGACAAGAGAGATAGCTTTGAATGCGACCCAACAAAGCAAGCAGCATTTTGTGATATCCCAACAGCCTTGTCTTCGCAACTCATTTTGTATGGTAAGTTTTGGACATTCCCTCAAGCCTTGAAGCAGACGATTCAGTATAAAAATAAACCATGTCCTAATTTAGTTCCCAACTTGAATAATTGTTAACGTCCTTCCAGAATATATGTTTGTGTGTTTTTTAATTTATTTTGTATTTTTTTGTGGACACGTTGTTCAAAAATTCTAACACAAAAAGTGGCATTTTTATTACATTTTTATTTATTAATTTACGAGCTAGCTAGCTGAACCCACTCATAATGAGGAAGAGAGAGTGATTTGAGCAGTGGATTCATTACCTCCAACCAACCAACCAACAAAAATTCACCTCTTTTGAGAAATAATTCATCACCCACCGAAAGCTCTTCTTCATCTCCTGTGATAAATATTTTAGTTATTACAAGGCTTTGTCATTATGGGTGCTTGTCTGGTTGAACATGAATATAGTTCCACAGTAAGTTTTTTTTTTTTTTTTTTTTGAGGTAAAACGATGCTAAAAGTAGAAATTGAAAGGGTAAACATAAAGGTCCAGATATCGCTTTTTATAAATGTTGATTTTTTGGTTGATTAATGGCAATAGGAACCCCTTTTTCTAAAGTTGAATAGGATTATGATGAAACACCAAAACGCTGACCGGAAGATCCAATTTTCTGTACAACTAAATCTTGTGTGGCCTAACTGGCAGTGGAAAGCAAGAAGACGACCCCTATAGGTCAATATGCCACGTGCACTTCACATGTGCCACGTTGCCATCCCATGACCTAAAACCTTTACAAAAATAATAAACTCACATTAATTGGGATATTTTGAGACAATATTAATTTCCATTAGGGTAAAACTTACCCGACAAAAATACTATTTTAAACCAAAAAACGACTCATGTTACTTCTTGACGATATTTTCGAGACTCACAACATGACTCATGTTAGGAATCACGGACTTCCACAATAGTATGATATTGTCCATGTCGAGCATAAGCTCTCATGACTTTGCTTTTCACAATAGTATGATATTGTCCACGTCGAGCATAACCTCTTATAACTTTACTTTTAGTTTCTTCAAAAGGCTTCGTACCAATGAAGATATATTTCTTACTTAAAAATTTATGATCAACCACTTAATTTACGGATGTGGGAGTCCTCTCACAACAAAAATACAGAGATACAAACTAGGTGTGGGAAGTGTAGTGATGAATTTGTATAGAAAGAAGAAGAAATTTTGGTTGAAGTTGAAGGGGAGGAAGGGGTTTAGAGAGGAGGAATGCAATGAAGAGACGAGGTGGGAGTGGTGGTCGAAGCGCAGGCGGAGTCAGATTCAGAGGCAGTTTATTGTTGTTCACTGCCCCAAAAAGACCACAAAAAACCAGGCTTTGGCACTATAATACGTCATAATTACAAAGCGTGGCTCTCACACTTTCAACCCTAAATATATTCTTCTTCCACAACCCCATCACATAAACAATAGAGAGGAGATTCGCCTTTGAAAACTTGGAATGATGGCGGTTCGATTCAGGGGAGGCATTATGTCTGTTAAAGCTTAGAGAGTGGCATCAGAATTAAACCCCACCATCCAGAAATGGAACTCCAAACCCTTTTCTTTTCCTTTTTAAACCCCCCCCCTTGGGGTTACCCTTTCAACGGAAACATTAAACTATTGCATCACAATAAAGTAAGAAGAGAGAAAAAAAAAAAAAAAAAAAAAAGACTGCATATTCAAATGTGGAAGCTTTGAGAGGAGTTTTATACACTGCAGCAGGTGTGCAAGAACAGCCTAGCCGACAGTGCTTCTGATTTCCGATGTGGGATTCCTCTTGGTTGTGGACAAAATAAGCGAAAACACTGTCTTTGATTCAATTCATTGTTTAATACAAAGTGTTAATATCCGATGTGGGATTCCTCTGGGTTGGGGTCGTGCGCGATATCCATTGATGGCGGCTCAGCTCCTCTCCTCTCCTCTCCTCGGTGTAATTCATCATTAGTCGCATGCTGCCAAAACAGAAGCTCTTTTTCCTTTTCATAATTCAATCAAATTCGGCGCACCTCTCTCTCCCAGTTCATATTATTTATTTATTTGTTTATTTAAAATATAATTAAACTATTATATTTTTGTACCATTAATCTATTCATATTATTGCCCATAATTTAATCTAAAATTTGGAAACTTATCTTCCAAAAGGAAGAACTTTATAATAAAAAATAAATAAATATGTTGCTTTTAATTTAAATTTATTATACCTCCAAAAAGATCCCACTTTTAATTTCAACTAAAAATTCATAGGATAAATCATTTTTCTATATATATATATATATATATATATATATTTTATAATCACAAGTGTACTCTATTATAAAATATTAATAACCCAAATATTCATCACTAGTATATTAACATTCCCCTAAAATTCGATATCAATCTCATTCGAATATAATTTAATTAATTCATGTACTATTTCTTTGCTCGGGTGTCACAATGACATTAGTATATTAGTAATATCTTACCACTAACTCAAAATGAATTTGAAATATATATCATTCAAGTATCAATAGTATATGATCCTTCTTTCAAAGATGTTAAGTATATGAAAAGTATATTGTAACAGCCTAAATTCACCGCTAGCTGATATTGTCCTCTTTAGACTTTTCTTCTCGAGTTTTTAAAACTTTACCAACAATGTTTCGTTTTACTTCCTAGCGGACGTGAGATCTCACGTATATGAAATCTTTTTCTTAAGATATATATATATATTTATGTATGAAATGATTAAAGTCAAAATTGTGGATCATTATTCCATAAGCTTTTTTTTTTCTCTCTCTCTCTCTCTCCATGTTGATGTGTGTAATTGAATGAGGTTGTCTTGTCAGGTTAAGAGAAGGAGAGTGGGGGAGAGACGAATGTGGGAGACAAGTTTAAAACATTTGAAAGCTACCAACAGTTGACACTACGTCTTTTTAGGTCTTCTCTGGGCCCTTCCTCCATTCCTTCCCCGCTTCTCCCCTTTCCTTCCATTTCTGTATTTATATCTCCAAACCCTCCCCCCACTCTCTTCACAAACCCCATCTTCTTCTTCTTCTTCTTCTTTCTTTTGATCTCTCAATAGATTCTCTGAAATGGCCGATATTGGGAGCTCAGCTTCTGGGAGCAGAATGTGGTGCTCCATTCCCGAGAAGCTTCAACTCCATGCCGCCATGCTGGCCTTGCAGTTTGGCTACGCTGGCTTCCACGTTGTCTCAAGGGCTGCCCTTAATATGGGCATTAGTAAACTTGTGTTCCTTGTTTACAGGAACATCATTGCCTTTCTCCTCCTCCTTCCCTTCGCATATTTCCTCGAAAAGTATACTCCCTTTCTTTCCTTCTCATTATCCTCTTTATGCTTTCCTACACCAACTCATTATTTCATGTTCTTTTCAGGAAGGAACGCCCTCCCATTTCTCTCAATTTCCTCCTTCAATTCTTCCTTCTTGCCCTCGTTGGGTATGCCCCACTTTTACCTATAAACCAACTAAACAATATTTATTTATTTCTATATTTAATTTTAATTTTTAATTTTGTGTCGGATAGAATCACCGCCAACCAAGGGTTCTACTTGCTAGGTTTGGAGAACACGTCCCCGACATTTGCATCGGCTATACAAAACTCGGTTCCGGCCATTACATTTCTCATGGCAGCATTACTCCGGCAAGACATCTATTTATTTCTACACAATTTTTTTATCACTAAGACGTGGAAAAAATTGAATTTATTTTTTGAAGTTGTTTGTACGATTGCAGGATAGAACAAGTGCGACTAAACAGGAAAGATGGTATAGCGAAAGTGATGGGAACAATATGCTGTGTTGCTGGGGCCACAGTGATCACTCTCTACAAAGGTCCAACCATATACAGCCCTGGTGCTTCGCTGCAAGCAGCCACCATCTCACCCATTTTTGCTTCACTTGGGGACGCAAACGGCAAAAGCTGGACCCTGGGCTGCATCTTCTTGATCGGCCATTGCTTGTCCTGGTCTGGATGGCTTGTTTTGCAGGCCCCTGTTTTGAAAAAATACCCGGCTCGTCTCTCTGTCACTTCTTATACATGTTTCTTTGGGATCATCCAATTTGTCTTCATCGCTGCCATTGCTGAGAGAGATTCTCAGGCTTGGCTTTTCCACTCGGGTGGCGAAATTTTCAGCGTTCTCTATGCAGTAAGTGGGACTCCGCTAATTAAGAGATTGATCATGTGTTTATAAATAAGAAATACATTTTTTTTTTAATTATAAAGCTTTTTTGAAAAAATAAAAAATAAAGTTAGGGAGAGCATACATTTCTTTTATTACAAGGCACTTTTGAAGTTATTGTCAAAATGGACAATATCGATTAATTTAAATTGATGGGTTAAATATACAGGGAGTGGTAGCTTCGGGAATTGCTTTTGCGGTGCAGATATGGTGCATTCAAAGAGGTGGCCCGGTGTTCGTGGCTGTTTATCAACCAGTTCAGACACTCGTTGTCGCTGTCATGGCTTCCTTCGCGTTGGGTGAAGAGTTCTTCTTGGGAGGGTAGGTTTCCTTTTTCAGTTACTTTATGAAAAAGTAAAGAAGGATGAAAATGATTGTTAATAATGTGAGCGTGATGAACAGGATCATCGGGGCAGTGCTGATCATCACCGGCTTATACTTCGTCCTATGGGGCAAAAGCGAAGAGAGAAAATTTGCACTTGAGAAGGCTGCCATACTCTCCGCTTCAGACCACGGTAACAGCAGAGCCCCCGCCCACATCAAGCCCTCCATTACTCAGCCACTTCTCATCCACTCAACAAACGACAACGTTTGACTTCACCCACCTCAATGTCCCAACTCCATGTTTCCCACAGTCTTAAAAAGCAAGCTTGTGTGTGTACTAAGATTTTCATCTTTCTTTTCTTTTGCCCATCTTTTGTTGACTTTTTTTTGTTAAACTATTATTTTTCTCAATGGCTTTTGTTAATTAGAGATGGGTTTGGGGGAAAAGTAAAAGGGATGAACTATATTTGCTGTTTTTTGTTTCCTGTTCGTAATATCGTAGTTTATGTTTTGATTTACAAAACTCAAAACGAGGTCGTGGCGGACAATTTAGAACATGATATGATGAAGGTGATTAGTTTAGTAATGAGTGGTATATCTTTTAAGCAACATAATAAGTAGCGATGGGAGAAGGGTGTGTATTCCCTCTTGTGAATGGATCTTCTTTTTAGCCAAAATTTCACTTTTCCACGTTTAGGAGGGTATACTTTTGATCGGCTTTACAGGTTTTTGGGGAAAAGGGAAAAAGGAGAAGAAAAAGAACCGGCCGTGCTCTCCTGAATTGTTGCTGTCTCTCTAGTGGAAATGTTGTTGTTCAAAAGATACTTAAAGCATGGGGTTTAGATTAACGATATAATATAATAGCTAGAGAGGGAGGAATTAAAGTAACTTTGTAATGCAAGTTGGGGTCAGACCATCATTTCATGAGACTAGATTGGACGGGAGAGTTGGTGGAACAAGGATATCAAACCTGAATAACACTATAGTATTACTTGACTCCTTTCTTTCTTACGAAAGATGCCACATTATTAAGCATGTATTTGTATGAGAAAACGATACACCAACAACTCCCAATTTAGAACAATATACGACTAGACTTAGAAGATTAGGATGCACGAGATATGGTCTTTCTCCCAGCCTAGGATCTATGGGAAAGAAGATCCCACATTGATTGGAGAGAGGAACGAGTGCCAGCGAGAACGCTGGGTTTCAAAGAGGAGATGGATTGTGAGATCTCCCATCGGTTGGAGAGGAGAACGAAACATTTTTTTACAAGGGTGTAAAAATCTCTCTCTAACAAACACGTTTTAAAAGTTTTGAAGGGAAACCTGAAAGAGAGAGCCTAAAAAGAACAATATCAAGGTGGGATTCCTCTCCCAACAATTCACAACCCATCTGATAGAAGGAATCGTCCTATGTCTCAACTACCATCGTTACTGAGTACATAGTTAAGTAGATAGGATGTTTGCCAGGGCTATCATAGAAGCCTTATACTGTTCAAAATTGGTATCTTTTTTAGAAAGTATTTGTGGAGACAAGGATTTGGATGTTTGGGGAGTCACTTTTTGAATAATTGCAAACAATGCATCAAAAACCACTTTAATTTGTTGAAAAAAGGAAGCCAAGTACATGTAAAAAGAGACTCATGCAAAAGCACTCCAATTCAAAGCTATAGAGAGTGGATATATGCTGAAATATCAACATAAAGTGGATCTGAATGGCAAATAATAATAAGAATAATACACATAATCTTCCCTAATTGCTACCCCAATTGAACCATAAAATGAAATTTCTTATCGAAACAGTAAATTGAGTCTTGGAAATATGTATATATATATATATATATATACATAAAAAGCTTACCAAGGGCTGAAGCACATCATGGATCCACAAGCAGCTGCCTTCAAAAATGATAATATCCCAAGTGAAATCAAGCCTCACTGAGCACCAAGAAATTGAGTGTATTACGAGGGAGGGTAAATGGTATCTGACTTTAGTTAACCACCCGAATTCATCGACACTCCATCGGAATCTCTGCACTTCCTCAACGCTGCTCGAATCTCTTTCAACATTAAACTTATATTGATACCTTTCCTGTAAATGGTACATTGGAGAGGATAATTAAGATTTGAATGGTAAATATTGAGAACAAAAATGTTAATTTTTCAGGACAGATCGCAGGTGAGGGGGAAGAATAAAAATGTTGCACAAAACCAACACCGTCTCCTACTTATAAGCTAACGTTTTAAGATAGCTATGAACGACATGAGACCGAACATGACGTTTTAGCATTTTAGTTTTAAGTTTCAACCACTGTCCTTAAAACTCAGAACAGGGATTCATTCACAATATCTTATATTTAAGTTTCAAAGCCAAAGAAAAAAAGTCTAGACAAGTTAAGAGTAGAACTTACAGAACACTGACGCCTACGACAGAAAGAGGACGGGGATAGTCTTCAATCTCTCTATCCTGATGACCTGCAACGGGAATTCCCGAAGGAGTTGCAAGATCGCCTTCTGGAAGTGACGATTCTACACTGTTTTCAGACCCCACTTGCTCAGGATATAGATCATCCCTTCCAATTCTCAATATTTCCTCAGTTATGGATGGAAGTCTGTCCCTGGCCTGAAAGGGCAATTTAACATTTACAGTGTTGCTTTGAAAGTTAATTTCCAATAGAAACTGCAGTAATTTTCCTTTTTTCTTTTTTTCATGGACAAAGTAAAAGTGAAGAAGATCATGAAAGCACAAACCTCAGGAAGGTCAATCTTATTTAGCACCACAACATACGGCCTTTCAAGGTAATTAGGATTGTACATCCGCAATTCCTGTATAACTCACAAAGAAATACATGACTCTAATTCAATATGATTAACCAACCAACAACACTAATTGATAACTATAGGAGAATATACAATAAGATGTTACGACCATGAGGAGACCGAAGAATGAACCAAAAAGTATCGATAAAAACACGGACAGCAGGACAGCAGGACAATTTTCAAAACAAAACAAAGATGAAAGCTTACTTCTCTCACAGTCCTATAGTCATTGACAGGGCTCTCTGCAGCTGCATCGACGACATGAACCAACAGCCGGGTCCTTCTCAGATGTCTCAGGAAGTTTCGTCCAAGACCCTAAAGAACATAATAGATTGGAAAATCAAAGCTTCCAAACAAAATTTGTTTAAGAAAAAAAAAAAAAAAAAAAAAACATTATGCAATACCTTACCCAAATGAGCACCTTCTATAAGACCTGGTAAATCTGCTAAAGTGGCTTCAGATTGATACATTCCTGCTCCTAAACTGGGATCCCCACCAAGGCGTCCAAGGTTTGGAATTAAAGTGGTGAAAGGATAGTCTGCAATATCGGGTTTTGCAAGAGTAATGGCTGCCAGAAGTGTTGATTTTCCAGCATTGGGAAGTCCCTATAACAACAAAAGCAGAAAAACGTCTGTAGTTAGATAAAAACAATTGTAACAAGTAGTTCAAAATCATGACTCAGAACTCCACAAATGATTCGAACCGCCCTTTCATTTCTGATAGTAGTCATTGAAGATAAAGGGTAAGAGTTGTGATGTATTTACTAGAGAAATTACAGAGGTATGTGACCTGCAGAAAGATAGAAAATAGGGGTAAAATAAAATAAACTGGATGTACTCACAACCAGACCGACATCGGCAACTACCCGAAGAATCAACTCCAAGCTGACCTCTTCCCCAGGTTGACCAAATACCAGAACCTAAAAATAAAGTATTTCTGATTAATAAGTGAACAAGATATTTTAAGTACAAAACATCAAACCTATGAAGAGCAGTTTGCAATTGGAAATATCATTGCACCTTTTAACTTATTCGCATGCGAAATTCTTGTTTCTATCTCAAGGTAGGAACTCATTGATATCACACATGAATTAATACAAATATAAATGTTCATAACCTTCACCTTATCACTTTCATCTCTCATCACATTGGAGGTCAGAGACATCAACTTTCTCCTTCTACTCTCTGGCGTATCTATAAGGCTTATCTGCAAAAAAATTATACTAAACCTTTTGTAAAAAAATTAATCTCGGTTTAGTAAAAAGTAAACAAAGAAGAAACGTTCATCATACTCATACCCCTCCTTGTCCTCCTCTAGCAACAAGAATCTCATCACCTGGATGGACCAGATCAGCCAACAATTTTCCCCTTTTACGTTTTATAACAGTACCTACAGCATAAAAACCCATGTATGATCATTACACCAGCACGCAGAGTAAGATAACAGTGGCAAGGTTGAAAGCGTAATAGACTTCTTAACTAGACCCAATCATGAAGCTCGCAGAAGAAGTAAGTGGAAAATAAGATCCTAAGTATTTCAAGAACTCATTCAATCCATCCCATCTCAATTTATATTGATTAGCAAGTTTGTACCCAAATCAATACATTATACAGACCTATAGGAACAGGAATGCGCAGAGTTGGGGCAGCAAATCCATTGTGCAGTTGGGAGGTCAAAACGCCCATTGCATCAACATTGCCACCACGTTTTGCATTATACCGGCTCTTGGTGTGGAATTCCAGCAGTGAGTCTTTCCCCTCATCGGCATAAATTACTACATCTCCACCACGGCCACCCATGGGAAGAACTAGAGACCCATCAAAGTCCCTTTTATACAAACTTTTCTTCTTCGCCTTCTCCTTCTCCTTCCCATGTTTTCCTTGGGACTTGCTTGTTTGTTGGTTAGGCATACTAAGAACTGTACCATGTCCTCCATCTCCTGAACGAACTGTTATGATAGCCTGATCAAAATACTTATGAGGTTCTTTTGTTAACGTAGCTGGGTTAGCGGAAGAGTCCACCACCCTAGCTAATTTGCACTTAATTGAGCTGTAGCTCAAATATCCAGAGAAACTTCTGTTTCGGTAACGCCTATGGATAACAAAATTAATGAGTTATTGTCAAACAAACATAGAAGCTTGTATAAGAAATGGAAAAGCAGATGTCGTGTATGTGTATATAGAACTAAACGCTGCCACTACAATTGAAGAACAGAAATATGACGAGCTCACGCGAAGAAAATTCATTGAGCAGAAATTGAGGTTAACAGAGAGTAGAACCACACCTCTTTGGGAAGACGCTAAAAGAGAAGCTCCTGTCATGAAGAACGAACGAGAAAGACGACGGAGGAGAAACAATTGACAACATTATCCCGAAAAACGGAAATGTTTCAGAGTTGGGAGTTGGGATCTTCTGCAGAATCATGAACAAGTTAGGGAGCTTGCCGCCAATGAGCCCATGACTTAACTGGACACTTGACATTCTGCTTGCTTCAATTTTCCATGTTTATGAAAAAGGCCCAATAGCTTTATTTGAACCCAATTTCTACTCGATTTTGAACCAAAGGTGACCTAGAACGACAGAGGGAGAATAATAACGTATCTTAAATAAACCAAAAATTCAGATTAATTTACTAATTTAGGACGAAGGACAA